CAGGATGGGAGGTGCCGCAAGCTACAACGTGGTTCCCACCTACTGGCGAGGGATGCGAGGAGGAAGGATGGATGGTTTCCTCGGATGAGTTCAAGGCTGTCGATCAAGCGCGAGATGTGATTGACCGTTTCGCCCAGTCGCTCCAGGATAAGCTGTGGAGGGAATCCGCAGCCAAGTCTCATTGTGGAGGGGGCATGGAAAACGGCATCGACAATTTCAGCTTGCGCAGGTATCTGTACCAACTCGAACGCATCCCAGGTCATGGCCGTCAGCTAAGCGAGTTGGTGTTGACTATTGCGGTTGGCGGGTCCTGGACGGACGACAGGAAGAAGGGTGCAGGCTTGCAGGCACCCGAACTTTGTAGGAGGTGCGGCCAAGCTTTGGAGACCCCGCTCCACCGTGTGTGGGAGTGTGAGTGTAACCGCGACTCGCCTGTTTTCGTTGCCTCGGACAGGCTGGTTCCCAAAGCCTTGGCCCAAGCTAATAGCTGTGAATGTTTTTGGCTCAGGGGTCTTATCCCCAGAGGCCTGATTATTTTAGACCCCCCCCCTCCAACGACGAGTGCTGGGTCTACAGCCACCCGAACGATGATGTTCTTGACCCGTATTTTGGGGTCGGGTCTCACCTCCACCCCCTCCTCCTCTTCGGGGACGCGTCGGGGGGTAAGGACACCCACGACCCTCGACTGCGCAGAGTAGGGATTGCAGTATCTAGCAGCCCCGAGCAGCCAGAGGGCACAGATGTTCGTTTCTTGTATGGCCCACTGCCTGGTCGGCACCAGTCCGTTCCCAGGGGAGAGTTGTACTGCCTGGTTTCAGCTGTGGCCTACTCTAGAGGGCCACTCGCTTTTGTCACCGACAATGATGAGGTTTGTCGGGGTTTCTGGGCGAATAATTTTCTGGCTCCGTCGGGGCCGAATGCCGATGTGTGGAGGAAACTTGGAGAAGTCATTCAGGCGACGGACCATCATCCTGGTGACCTAGCTGTGCTCCAGATCCCTTCCCACTTAGAGGCTCAGGAAGTTGTCGCGCGTGGCCTGTCGGGGCCCCTCGTTGCTGGGAACCTCTTCGTGGACCACCTTGCTGGCATAGCTGCTAAGCTGTTTGGGGTCCCCTGTGCGCAAAGGTTTCAGTTGCTCCAGGTCGAGGCTGATGCTCGTTTGATTCGTGAACGTTTGCTCAGGACCACTTTGGAGGCTATCAAAGCCGAGGGGTCAAAACAACGGCGCCCTGCTGCTGCTGCTGTTGCTCCTCCCCCCCCTCCTGTGGCTGTGGCGTTGTTCTCTTCTAGGCTCAGCTTGAAAGAGTGTGGGAAAAAGTGCTCCAGGTGTCAGAGCTCTACCAGCGAGGCGAATAGGACTCGTTGGCTTAATCAAGATTGCTTCGACTTGTTGCATGTTTCGGCCACGCTCTCGAAACTTACCCTGGGTCGGATTTTACATCTCGCTGGGGGTGAGGTTCACGGTTCACATGTTATGTTGTACCATTGCTCCTTGGACCTGTGGTTTTGTAAGGCGTGTGGTTATTATACCCAACAGCAGCTTTGTGGCCTTGCGGACGTGTGTCCTGCCCGTAGGTCCCCTCCTGTCCCGATCACGAAGTCTCGGAAGGAGTACTTGAGCCGTATCTCTCGGAATCTATGGCCTAAAGTTCTCAGCAATGCTGAGAAGCGGTCCCGAGGGTTGTAATTTCTTTGACTCGCTTCGCGAGTGGTCTCATCTCATCTCATCACATCATCATCACCACCTCCTCCTCCTCCTCCTCCTCCTCCTCCTGCTCCTCGGGAGCGGCCAAGAGGGGGGTGTCCAAAAGGGGGGGGTGCAAATCATGACCGGCGGCATGTGCGCGGCCCAGCGGGGGGGCCAGGGACGTGATGAAGCAAGAAGAGGCGCCATAAAATCTGGGGAGATATCATGGCCCACGCCATGATATCCACACACCCCTAGTCATCACCCCCCTCTTTTCCGCCCCCGAGCTCCTCCTCCTGACTAATGGCCGCAGCAAGAGGACCGGGCGACGCGGGCAGAGGGGAGGGGAGGAGAGGAGCACCGTCAAAATGGATCGCAAGGGTGCGCGATGAGGTTGCCCGGCCCTTGGACGCGCCTGCCGAAGCTCCTGGAAAAGGGAAATGGCCCTCGAAAGTGTTACGGGATGGACCGAAGAGGCAAGGACACAAGGGTGCACCACTCACGGCACGCACGTGTGGAACCGACCTCGCAGGAAAAAAGCACGGCAACATAAACCAATCTTCAAGGGAAACCACCCCATTGAAAATAACAAAGAAATTTCGGCAACATTTGACAACGCTGGGCTTCCCCGAAGGGTTGATCGGTTGCTGCCAACAAAAAACGGCAACGAAGTCTTGGTTCCGACGGTCACCCCAGTCCCGCAGCGACTGCCAGGACTGATAAGGGTGCCCTCGAGAAGGTTGGCCGTCCCTGTCCTCGATTTCTAAAAACCTCCACTGCAAGCATGGGTTGTGGATGCCATGACAATGGACACTCTAACAATCCCATCGTTGAATTGAAGATGTTCTTTAAAAATGTAAAACATATTCTAAAAATGATTCCAACATGATTTTAATGTACTCAAAACATGTTTGAAACATCTTTTAGAAATCTCGAAACTATTTGGCAGCATGCTTCCTCTCCATCAATCGACTTCCACAAAGCATGGGGAACAACGAGGTCCGAGGGAAACGGGCCCTGGATCCCCGGGCACCTCCCCGAGGCTGAAGTCGTCTCGCGACCCGAGGAGGGTGTGGCATGAGGCCAACAGCGGCCAAAAACCTCAGGAGGCCCCATGCGGACCCTGCCCCTCCTCCTCCTCCTCCTCCTCCTCCTCCTCCTCCTCCCCCTCCTCCTCCTCCTCCTCCTCCTCCTCCCTCCTCCTCCTCCTCCTCCTCCTCCTCCTCCTCCTCCCCTCCTCCTCCTCCTCCTCCTCCTCCTCCTCCTCCTCCTCCTCATCCTCCTCCTCCTCATCCTCCACGATTTCCAAAGGGGAGGTGGGGTAGGGTTCGCATGTGGGCACCGACTCTGTGCCCCTTCCCCTCAGGACCGCCTTCTGCGTGGCGAGGAGGCGCACCGAGCGAAACGAAGCGGACTGGGCGAAGCGGGCTGCCAGCCGCAAGGCAACGGCGCACCACCGTTGTATGAGTCATGTGCGTCATCATCGTCATCGTCGCTGTCGCCGCCCGGTTGAGTTTTGCCATCACATTGCGCTTGGTGAACGGGCGGGACGCTTGCCAGAACATTGGAGGTGGTCGCGCGCGAACGCGGTCAAAACTAAACGCGGTGCATAGATGGCTACCACAGCATGTACCGCCCCCACATACGAATACGTATGTGTTAGGAAGTGTCTGTGTACCTAAGTGCGGACTCGTGTATGTGCACAAATAATATTCACACACATACCTCAAGCATGCCACAGCGAGTGCAGATCAAGATCGCAACATACCGCGTGGCAACCATTTGACGCGTGAAGAGCCTGGCGACCCCATGTTGGATGCCCGTCCCTGGCGCCTGGCGCCTACGCCAGACCGCACGCCGGAGACGCCCATTTGGCGCCTACCCCGCTCGCGCGCGTGCATTCACGCGCTGGACGTTCGCCAGCCAATCCCGCGCACACTGCTTCACACCTCTCTGGTCCAAGGCCAGAGGCCCCACCGCACAAAGAGGGCCCTGGGCTGGAGCCCTTGCCAGAGATAAAATCGATGCTCGAACACTCATTCACGCATTCACTCATGCCAGCGGAAGCGCGCGTCAATGCCGCGCGCCCCAAACACCCCGCGGCCCGCCAACGTGCGGCCAGCTCACACCCTGGAGGTGGGTGGAGAAGCCCCCGCCAGCCACGACTCCCAGAGGGGGGGTGCTCCAGCCGGGGAGGCTGAAGGGGGCCCACGGGAGACCTGTCCTCGAGCCTCAGCCCTCCTTCCCTCCTCACGCCCCTCCCTGCCGCTGCCCTGGGCCGCCTGCCAGGAGCGGGGGCGCGCCCGCCTGGCCCTGAGCCTGATCGGGCGGGGCCCTGCCAGCCCACCTGCCTCGTGCTGCCAGCCTTCGGTCGGGCATGTCCTCCTACAGGCGGATTTGGGGCGAAAAATGAAAAATATCAGCACACAAAAAAAACATCGACAAATAATCGAAAAAACATCGGCCCGATATGATTCTCTTACTATGTTTGAATTTTCCTCCTGTAGAGAGACAGGCCCGACTGAATGCCAGCCCTGGCCTCCCGCCTGCGAGCTCGTCGTCGACTGCGTGTTCCTCCCTTCTCTCTCACTCGGGCAGCACAGCCTGCCGGGAGAAGGCGCATCGGCCCGAGTCGTCCCCAAGCGCCCTGCACTCTACGAAGCACACGCGGCCGGCTCGCCACCCCGAGGATCCAAGGGGTCCAAGAACAACCGAGCAGACCTCCTGGGCCTGAAAAACTCTAAGGTTCGGCCAGCCAGTACAGGGCCTTCGCTTTCGTTTGGAAAGCATACGATTTTGACTGGTCAGCGGTGCGATCCAACGCTGGCAGCATCCGGCAGCTCGGGAGCACCTCGACTCGGGAAGGATTAAGTGTAATCAGAGATACGCGCGTCGTCTTTCCAGCTGTGCTCGTCACTCTTCCGCCTCGAGCAAGAACTCGGTAGCTGCTTCGACCGTAACACGCTGCTGTGGTTGTCCAACCGGCGTGACATAGCATCTTTGCTATCCGATCTATAGGGAAGCTGGAAGAGTGGGAGTTGTAAACTCTGCAAGAGTGGCAGTGGCCAGAACTGAAGAGAACTGGCAGGGGCTAAAAGGAGCCCGAAACCGTCGGGATGAGGCTGCCAGGGCTGGAAAAATATCGTAGGAAGTGTGGCCAGGGCTGGAAAGTGTAGTAGGGCTGGCCCAGACACTTTCCCAGCTTCCCTGTACGTGGACAGACGCCACCGCATCTGTCAACGAAGGGTCAGAACAAGAGAGGGGGCGAGCGACAAGAGCTCGGACAGCCGCGCAGCCGCGCTCAACTCAGCGCTCACGACGCCGCCACCGGCGCCTCCACCGGCACAGCCTCCCGCGCGGGGCCCAGAACAAAATCCTCCCCCTTCAGCTTCCCGCTCCCCTTGTACTCGTCTCCCTCCTCTCCCTCCTTCGCTCCCTCCTCCTCACCTCCCCCCGTCGCCTGACCCTCATCATTCTCAGCCCTCCATCCGGGGAGGAGGAGGTCTGCGGCAGTGGTGGCTGCGCTTCGGCCCAGGTGTCGGCGCCTCCTCCGCCATCTGCTCCGCCTCCTTGACAAAATCAGCCGACATCGCCCGCAAGGCCGCCTCGGCGACGTCGACGACGGCTTCTTTCCTCTGGGTAGCGTTAAGTAGGGCGTGTCCCCCTACAAGAGATTTTCGACGAAAAACAAAAAATACCCCAACAAGGTCAAAAAATATTCAAAAAATAATCCCCAGACTATTTTTGGACTATTGTTTGACTATTTTGTTGGGGTATTTTTTTTTTCATCGAAAATCCCCCCATTAGGGGGACAGGCCCGACTTAAGGGTATCGTCACATGTAGAGAGGAAGAGCTGGATATGGAGACCTATACGATCACCCTTCGGGTGATAAGGAGGTTGGGGGGTGGGGGGGAAAGCACCACGCGCCGGCAAATGCGAAGGGTGTGATGATGACAATGTTGGTGACGCGCCCTGGAGTTAGCGACAGCGCGTGATGACGACATTCTGCTGCCGTGTGGTATCACTATCGTCCCCGCTTTCGATCTTACTCGATCGATCCCGCTATCGACCTCACAGGATTGATCACACTCGATCGATCCCACTACTGATCTCACGATCGGTCTCACTATAGAGATCACTATAGATATGGCTGCCGAGCTCACGGTCGATCTCACTATCGATCTCATTATTCATTCCCCTATCGATCTCACTATCGGTTTCACGATCGATCGCACAACCAATGTCACAATCAACCTCACTGTCGATCTCACTTTTGATCTGACTGTCCATCCCATTCTAGCGTTCGCATTATCGATGTCACGATCGACTTCACTATCGATACCAAGGCGGCACACCCCCAGCCACCGCCCCCACACCGCCGACGGAACACCGACGGGACATCAACGGGACACCAACGGGACACCACAGGACACCACAGCGGGACCTCCTGAACCACCGCGCGCCCACCGGCCCTAGCGACGCCGGGGGCATTCCTCTCGCGCGCCCACGCGGCTTCGCCTCGCCCGCGCGCACGACACGGACACGAAAACAAAACCGATCTCCCCGCAGGGGGGCTCTTCGTTCCACTACGATCTCACCCTCCATCCTCCGATGTTTGGCACTCCCGGGGCCCAAATGTGTACCGATCCGCCGCCTGCCGAGGTCCCCGAAGGTCGATCTCCCAGGCGGTGGTTGTCGATAACTCCCCGCCTCGGAGGACGTTGGTCCTTGCGTCGTCCAGCACCAGCTAAGCCTGGATTTGAAAAGTTGGTCCGTGCGCCGTCCCGCGCCACGCAGTCCAGAGCTCTGCTGCATGGAACACGCAGTACATGCCACCGTCTACGCGCCGACGGCACGGATCGAGCTCCCCAGGGTCGGGGCGGCCCCTGGCCACGCTCCCGGCTCGCACATGAGCCATGTCGTCTGGGCATGGCTGGAACACCCTGCTACACCGCGCCACGCCTCTCTACGCGTGACCCGTTCCAGAAGCCGCGGATATAACAAACAGATGCGTCCATCGAGTGGGGGCGCAATTTTTTTTTCCGCCGGCTTCCGCCCTCCGCTGGGGAAGATCATGTCAGCTCGTTCGGTTCCGCGGCAGCTCGGCCCATCCTGGAACGCGCCACCACACTGCACGGCACGCATTTCACGCCGCTCACGTGCATGTGCATCTACGTACGGCAGGTTCGTGTCGTGCCGACCCCAGCGTTGGTTTTTGACACTGCAGGGATCGTTCAACCTTGAACGATCGGCCGCTGCCGCAACGTCCGATCGTTCAACATCGATCGATGCTGGGTCGCCGGCGGCGTTCAACCTTGAACGCCCGCGCTGGGGTCGCCGCTGGTCGACACGACGCAAACCTACCGTACACGTGCACGGTTCGATCAAGGCGCGGGGCATGCACAGTCGGATTGCGTCGGCACTTTCATTCATACGCGCAGTCAAAATTGACCTCGTCAGCATTTTACACTGCGGAATTATCCTTCGCCCCAGGGGCAAGGCCCGCAGTCGGCCGGGCGCCCGCCGCCCGTGCACAAGGCCACGCACACGCGCATTTTTTCAGTCGGCGGCGCAGAGGAACCTCAGGCGCGGTCGGCAGGTGGAGGGGGGAGGGGGAGGGGGAGGGGGGGGGGAGGGGGGAGGGGGGGGGGGAGGGGGGAGGGGGGGAGGGGGGAGGCCAATTGCGAACGAACTCAGTCGAACGCGTCATGATGAACTCAGTCGAACGCGCCATGATCAAAGAATCCAGCCACGGCCATGCAGATTGGTGGTGGGAAGGCTGAAGCACTGTAAAGCCAAAACGCACCGGCCTATCATCCCGCGGAGCGAGGCTCGACGCCAGGAGTTGAGGCTCAAGCAGCAGGCAGGTGCTAATTCGCCACTGAGGCGGGAAGAACTGTAAGGCTGCCAGACCAGCCAGCAAGGCGGCGACGCGGAACGCGCAGCAGCGCGGCAGGCGACGCCACCAGGCGTGCAACAGACACGACACAGCGCCGTGCACGTGCAAGCAGCGCGAAGAAACGCACGCGTCTGAGGCAAACATAGCCTGCACCACCCAAAAAAAAAGCTGAACGCGGGCGACCGCGTGCAGCAACCGCTTCACGAGGTGGCGCACATGGGTGGTGGACAGCGCAAGCAAATCCATGAGTGGTGGACAGACGCGTGCGTGGCCAACGTACAATGCGGATGCCACCGCTGAAAGGCAACCCCACCGCAGCCGCTGCGGCAACCACGGGTGGGTGGAGCCGAAACGACGAAAAAACAACCACCTATGCGCAATAGTATATGTACGCGTCACCTCAAGGTCGCACCACTCCGACCAGAGGCAATCAAGTGAGGAAGAAACGAGGAAAGCGAACCCGCCACCGGGCTACGCCAACGAAAACAGCCTGCGATCGAGCTGACATACAGCTGAAACCAGCAAGATGCGACCTGCAGCCCCAGGTCCGATTCACACCCCAGATGCGATACAGACGCAAAAATGTAAAGAGGCCGCGGCCATGGCATCCAGCACCCAATCCAAGTCGCAAGCAGCAAAGCGGTAAGGCCACCGCTGGGCAAGCTGCCTGCGAAAAAATGCGCCGACCACGAATGAACAGGTCTCTCTCTCTCACACACCAAAAAAACACTGAGAACAGCGGTCCTACCGACCGAACAACGGCTGAAAATACCCGCGTAAGCATGAAATGTGACACAGCTGGAAGTTCAAACCGCTGGGGGTCGGACGCAGGGGGCCTGAAAAAGGAATCACTTTGGGAAGGCACACCCGATCAATGTGAGCGGAGCTGCCTCGCGCATCAATGCGCTGCCATGCCGTAGGCTCAGGGTGGACTGTCCTCAGGCCCCCCCCTGGTTCTCCGTGTTAAATATTGTGCTGTCGGGGGGCTTTGCCGTCGTCGTCGCTGGAAGCCGTCTTCGTCAGAGGAGGACAAGGAGGTCGTCGTCGTTGCTGTGAAGGGATGGCGGAGGAAGAGGGGGAAGCAGGAGGAGGGAGGAGGGAGGAGGAGGAGGAGGAGGAGGAGGAGGAGGAGAGGAGGAGAGGGAGGGGGAGGAGGAGGAGGAGGAGGAGGAGGAGGAGGAGGGGAGGAGGAGGAGGAGGAGGACTCTCTTCAGGGGCCTTGTGCCTCCGTGACCCCGGCGCTCTCGGGCGCTCGCGGGCGCTCCTGCGTATACCCCCGCGCGACTTTTCCCGAGGCCCCGCGAGCGTGGCCTCAGGTCTCAACCTCCAACATGAAGACGAGGCCAGGACGAGGGTGCAAACGGGTGAAGACAAATCGAGAATCTCTGAGATCTGGCTGCTCTGAAAGATGTACCGGCGCCGCGGCCCTCTCAGAGCGTTCCTGAACGCTCTGAGAGCGTCCGGGAACGCTCTACTACGGATTTATCCTCGTCCTAGCCCCGTCCGGAACGAACATGCTCCAAGATGGGTCCAATGGGACCGTCCTGGGGCTCTCTGCTCGGGGGCCTCGTGGGCCGTTTTGGAGGCTGCGGGGGCCAGCCCAGGCGGCCAGAATCACTCAAACACCACGGCGTTGTATGATCTTCGCACGCTCGACTGTCTCGGTCTCAAGAGCGCCCCAGAGGGCGCAAGAGGCCCCAAAGAAATCCCCAGAAAGAGCCAAAGAGGGCTCACAAATCGGTCCCAAGATGCCCGCAAGGAGGCCCCCCCAAAAGAGGTGCCGAAAAGGGGGAACACGAACTGACATGTCGAGCCATTTCCCCCGATACGGCCCCCGAGACCGCCAGCGGGTCCTAAACAGACCCTCCAAGAGGTCCCCGAGAAGCCCAAAAGACATCCAAGAGGCCCCCAAAATTGGCCCCAAAACTCCCCGAAAGAGGTCCCCAAGAAGCACCCGAGAGGCCTCCGAAAGGGCCCCAGAAGGCAGCCATTAAGTCCCTGGGCCACGACCCATGCACGTGGCGGGATGGGCCGAACAAAAGACACTCGAACGTGGACTTGGTCGCCTAAGCTTGGAGCAGCACTGACACCTTCAACAACAGCGCTGTGTGGAAGTCGTCGCATCAACGGTCATAACATGCGTGCTGTTGTGCTTGCGCTCGCAGATTTCTTCTCAATTTGACCTGCAGTTAACCACTTCGAAACCTCATCGGTCAAACGCGCAAGCGTCTCCCAAGTCTCCCTTGGGCGGGCCCTCGTTTTGCACAGACCGTAGATTTGTTTCCTGCCCCCCGCATCCTTCCCTCTTCTCGCTGGCCTCCTTAGAGGAAGTAAAATCGGCATAAACACGACCTGTTGGCGCTCCACGCGGATTTTTCAGATCCACGCCGAACCCTCCCCCCCCTGGCGCGCGGAGTGCGCCAGGGGCGGCGCCAGTGGCGCCGCTGGGGAGGGGGCCCAGCGCAGATCCAAGAAATCCGCGCGAAGCGCCAAAAGTTTGTGTTGATGATGTTGCTTCTTCTTCTTCTTCTTCGACCCCTACCTTCTACACGAGGATAACACCCCATACGTCCTCTTACCCGCTACCTGCTTCGCCCCCTTTGCGGCGCCCAGGGCTGCCAGCTGTGCAGACGTCGCCGCTTTCGCGAGCTCGTGGGAGCTCCTGCCAGGGGCGGCCTGCCCAGATCCGGATGAGACCTGGCCTCCACGGGTGCTGCCAACTGCGCAACGGCCGCCACGTGCGCGAGCTCCTGGGGGGCCCGGCGGAATGTGGCCCTGCCCAGACCCCAATGAGACTCCGCCTCCCTGAGTGTTTCCAACTGCGCAACTGTCGCGTAGATCGCGAGCTTGTGAGAGGCCCAGCGGGGTGCGATCCGACCTAGATCGACATGAGACCTCGCGTCCGCAGGTGCTGCCGACTGCGCAATCCCACCAGCCCTCTGGGCGCAGGCGGTCTAACGATGTCTTTCTTCCCTCTTCCTAGAGCCCCTCTTTCCCTTCGGGTGATGGTTGACCCCTCCCCCTACCTATTCCCCTGGACCTGGACAGGGAGTACCGCGATCAGAGGGTCCTTTTTGGCCCAAGATGGCTCCAAGAGGGCCCCAGAGAGCCCAAGACAGCCTCCAAGATCGTTGACGATAGCCCAACATGGCTCAAGATAGCTAACAGCATGCCTCCAAGAGGCCCCAAGAGGGCCACAAGACGGATCCAAGTGCTTTTGGAGACCCCAGGACCTCCCCGAGAAGCCAAAATCCTTTAGAAACCATAAGAAAGTCGATGTGTTTGGCCTTCTCGCCTCTTCGCTTCCGATGCGCTTTTGAGGTCTCAAGATGGCCCTGGTCCAAGAGAGCTCCAAGAGGGGCCAAAGAGGCTCCCAAAACGGCGCCCAAGAGCGCCAAAGAACGCCCCAAGAGTGCCCCAAGAGGACCCCCAGAGGCGATTCCGAGGGCTCTTAGTGAGGGAGACCTAGATAAAGGGCCCCCCCCTCCCCATTTGATCGATGGCCTCCAAGATGGCCCCAGGAGGCCCACCTAAGCTCCCAGGAGAGCCCCTAGAGAGCCCCAAGACGGCCCGAAGAGGGGCCCGAAGAGGGCCCCAAGACGCCCCAAAAGAGCCCCAAGAGGACCCCAAGACCCCCCAAAGAGCCCCAAGAGGGCCCCAAGATGCCCCAGAAAAGCCCCAAGAGGACCCCAAGACCCTTCCAAAAAGCCCCGTAGCTCCAAGAAGGTTTCCGATGCTCCAAGATAGCCTCCAACATGGCTCAACACGTTCCTCCCCCTCCTCTCGTTGACCGCTCTGTTTCACTATATGCGTCTCTGATTTCCATTTCCCGTCAGCTCTCGTGGGCAGGGCTTCTGAATGGGCTGGCGGGGATTCGCGAAGCGTAAACAATTGTCCCCCCTGTCGTAAGCTCCTCCGAACCACAACGGGGTGCGTTCCCACCCAGATCCAATGAGGCCTCGGGCCCCCTGAGTGCTGCAAGCTGCGAAAGTGTCGCCACTTTCGTGAGTTTGTGGGAAGTCCCGCTGAACGCGGTCCTACACAAATCCGAATGAAATCTCACCGCCCTGGGCGTTGCCAGCTGAATGACTGCTGCGACTCCCACAGGCTCCTTGGAAATCCAGCGGCATTCAAAACTAACCCACATGAGACCTCGCCACCCCTTCGTGCTGCCCGAGCCGCAAACGTGGCTCCGTTCAGTAGCTCCCGGGAGACCCAGCGTGTGCCACCCAAGTCCAAAAACGGAAACTCACCCTGCCTGGATGCTGCGAAGTCCACGGCCTGCCAGGGCAAGATCATGCCCAAGGGCGTCTCGTCGACGCGGGAAGGAAGGGTGTCGATGACATGAACGGGGGTTGGCTACAGCAAAGGTACGTCATGCTTTCCAAGGCCACGACGTCGGCTTGGTGACAACTCAGCACACGGGGCTTGCCTATCTCCCAGGAGCCGCCCGCGGGGAGGGCGGGGCGCCTGCGAAATTTTCACCGCCGCGCGGACAGGCGCGGGAAAGAAGCTGGAGCTGGCACGCGACTGCGAAGGGGCCCAAGGACACACACACACACACACACACACACGTAAATGGACGCAAATCCCAGGATTCCCCGTATGTTCAGTGTTTCGTCTTCCCCTTCCACTTCCAATGTTTTCCATATTCTCCTGGGCATCGACAACTATTTGTGTCTGTGTGTGCTTCCTCCCTCCCGAGACTGAGCGAGTGAACCGCCAGTGCGCGTGCGGGCGCGCTCACGCGCTTGTCTGCGCGTCTGGTGCCGGCGTGAGGGGGCGCCCGCGACTGCAGTCTTCGACGCCCATACAGTCGGGGCGTTGACCTAAGGAACCCTAAATAAGGAACGGGGCCCCTTTCTCCCATAAGTTGAACTTCGATTTCTCATGGAAAACCTCAGGAAAACAGAAGGCAAACTGTAGAACAGTCACGGAACACCGAGCCCCTCCCCAACGAAAAGGGTTCCTTCTTCAGGGCCCCGGCTGTACCGAGCGGCGCACGTTGAGGCCACAATGATGGCTATACACCTCAATCCAAGGTCGCTGCTGAAAGGACGACGTGTCAACAATGCTCTGCGCCGCCGATTCCTCGGGCGAGGTCTGACCGACCTCTAGCAAACCATCCCCTTCCGTGACGTCGTGCTCGCCTTCCAAGGTTCCCTCGCGCCGCACACATACGTCGTGGGGCGAGGCGAGGGAGACGGCACGGAAGGGGGTGGTTTGCCAGGGGTCGGTGGGGCCGCCCCTAGATCCCATACCCTTCCTCCTCGCCCTCCATGCCATCCTCTGTCTCCTCCTTGTGATGATGCTCAACCTTGCCCATGCTAGTGGCGCCTCTCATGTGTTAACACCCTGTCTCCTCCGTCTCCTCAAACGCGTCGTCGTCCTTGTAACTATCGTCCCTCCCTCACTTACTCTTTCTTTCGGGCGTGCAACGAATGCGTTCCCGATACAACTTCCAGAAGACAACACACGGCGTTCCATTTCGTTCGTCTTTGATGGGCCTATGGGCACTGCCACTTGGTGCCGATGGGTTAGACACGTCCCAAGACAACTCCACGCGGTTTCTTCCGCAATCCCGCGGTAAGTTCCCACTCATATTATCGGCCCGCCCTCTCTTGATCTGCGGGGTCCACACCCTGGGGCACTTGATGGACATTGGGCATCACGTCAGAAGAGCAGGCGGGGAAAGCAGCCAGGGGGCGCTCTTGCTGGTGCACCTCTTCCCAGTGTACTCGGCGCGAATATTCAGGATGGGAATCCGAACTCGCAGCTGCGCGTAAAACGCCTCGTCCTGAGATGGCCGGGGGGGGAGAGAAAGAGCGAGAGAGAGAGAGAGAGACAGACAGACAGACAAAGAGAGAAAGAGTGAGAGAAAGAGAGAGTGAGAGAGCGAGAGTGAGAGAGAGAAAGAGTGAGAGAGGGAGAAACAGCACAAAGACCGAGCACGAGAAAGAGAGATAGAGAGAGGAGAGAGAGAGGAGAGAGAAAGAGAGAGAGAGAGAGAGAGAAAGAGAGAGAGAGAGAGAAAGCGAGAGCGAGAGCGAAAGAGACAGAAGGAGAGTGAGAGCGTGAGAGCGAGAGAGAGAGAGAGAGAACAACAACAAAAAAACAGAGGCAGCAGCGTAGAATTGGGACTCCCCGCTGCAATGTCCCGGCGGAGAACCGCGTCCTTGTCCTCCTGGTCCTCGCCCCCTCCTCCTCTCTTCCCCCTCGTCCTCCTCATCGGCCTCCCCCTCCTCCTTCGCAACCTCCTGGCCCTCCATATTCCTATCGAGCCATCGGGTCCCCTCATCCATGGGCGCCTGCTCCTACAACCCCCGGGACACGACCACCGCCGCATCCCTCTCTTCATCGTCATCGTCGTCCTCCTCTTCCTCCTCCTCCTCCTCCTGCTGGCCATCCTGCCAATCCTCCTCTTCCCGCTTTCTGTCTCGTCCTCCTCTTCCTCTCCGTCCTCCTCCCCCTCCTCCCCCTCCTCCTCCTCCTCCTCCTCCTCCTCCTCCTCCTCCTCCTCCTGTTCCTGTTCCTCCTCCTCCTCCTTCTCCTCCTCCTCCTCCTCTTCCTCGTGATCCTCCTTCCCTCCCTCCTTCCTCCCTCCTCCCCTCCCTGCCTCCTCCCTCCCCCCCTCCTCCCTCCTTCCTCGCTCCCTCCCCCCTCCTTGCTCCCCCCCCTCCCCTCCCTCCTCCCTCCCTCCTCCATCCTCTTTCCCTCCTCCATCCAACCCTCCTTCCTCCTCCGATCCTCTGCAGGAGGACCGCAGGTGAGCGGACACCAAAGAGAACGTGCACACGAGGGCAAGGTGACCCATGATGTGTGTGTACCCGAGGTGAAATGTGTCGCCCGGTTGCGGTTGCGGTTGCGCGCGCGCGAGCGGCTTAAAATGTGTCGCACGGTTGCGGTTGCGGTTGCGGTTGCGGTTGCGCGGGCGGGTTGACTTGTGCCGCCCGGTTGCGGTTGCGGTTGCGCGGCTGGGTTGAATTGTGTCGCCTGGTTGCGGTTGCGATTGCGCGCGCAAGTTGAAATGTGTCGCTTGGTTGCGGTTGCGGTGGCGGTGAGCGGGCGGGTTGAATTATGCCGCCTGGTTGCTGTTGCGCCTGCGCGGCTGGGTTGACATGTGCCGCCTGGTCGCGGTTGCGGTTGCGGTTGCGGTTGCGGTTGCGGTTGCGGTTGCGCGGGCGGGTTGACATGTCGCCCGGTTGCGGTTGCGATTGCGCGCGCGGGCGGGTTGAAATGTGGCGCCTGGTTGCGGTTGCGGTTGCGGTTGCGGTTGCGCGGGCGGGTTGACATGTATTGCCCAGCTGCGGCTGCGGTTGCGGTTGCGCGGGCGAGTTGACATGTGTCACCCGGTTGCGGTTGCGGCTGCGCGGGCGGATAGAAATGCGTCGCCTGGTTGCGGCTGCGGTTGCGGTTGCGCGGGCGGGTGGAAATGTGTCGCCCGGTTGCGGTTGCGCGGGCGGGTTAAAATGTGTTGCCCGTATGCGGTTGCGGTTGCGGTTGCGCAGAGGGTTGAAATGTGTCGCCCAATTGCGGGCGCGGTTGCGGTTGCACGCCCAATTGGGTGAGTTGAGATGCGTCGCCCGGTTACGGTTGCTGTTGCGCGCGCGGGCGGGTTGAATTGTGTCGCCCAGTTGCGGTTGCGGTCGCGCGCGTGCGGGTTGAAATGTGTCGCCCGGTTGCGTCTGCGGTTGCGTTTGCGCGGGCGGGTCGACATGCGTCGCCGGGTTGCAGTTGCGGTTGCGGTTGCGCGCGCGGGTTGACTTGTGCCGCCACATTGCGGTTGCGGTTGCGGTTGCGCGGGCGGGTTGGAATGCGTCGCCCGGTTGCCCTTGCGATTGCGCGCGCGGGCGGGTTGAAATGCTTAGCCGGTTGCGCTTACGGTTGCGCGCGCGGGCGGGTTGAAAAATGTCGCCTGGTTGCGGTTGCGGTTGCGCGCGCGGGCTGGTTGAAATGTGTCACCCGGTTGCGGTTGCGGTTACGTTTGCGCGCGCGGGCGGGTTACTGCGCGCGGCGACACGTAAAGACGAAACTATTAACTTTTTGTTGGGATTCGTCGTGCGTCTTCCGTCTTTCTAACTATTAACTTTCGGTTGGGCTGGTTCGTCTTCTGGTGGATTCGTCTTCTATGTCCTAATTATTAACTTTTCGTGGGGGCGATTCGTCTTCTTTCCATAACTGTCAAGCCACACCTCCCCATCTTAATCGCCACCCCGCACTCGCCAAACCAAACAAAATCCATAACGCGCGTCGTTCGGTCGTTTGGAATGTTGTGTTGCCTCCTGCCTTGCTTGCTTGGTGTCAGAAGACCGACACATTGGCAGTTTTATGTCGTGTTTGGTGCCGATGCATAGCTACAGATGAGAGTTTCATGTGGAGCTGGTGTCCGGTGGGGGGAAGACAGCGTCCCTCAACACACGCACACATCGGTCTATGTGTATATAGAGGTATGCATACGTGCATGCATACACATAGAGGTATGCATACGTGCTCCTCCTCCTCCTCCTCATCATCATCATCATCATCAGCAGCATCATCAGCAGCAGCAGCATCATCATCATCCCCCTCCTCCTCCTCCTCCTCCTCCTCCTCATCATCATCATCATCCTCTTCCTCCTCTTCCTCCTGCTCCTCCTCCTCCTCCTGTACATGCACATGTACATATACATGTATGTATATATATATATATGTATATATGTATACGTGTCCGTCCATGCATCCATCAGCTCATATTTCATGGTATGCGTGTCGGAAATATGGTCATACTACAGACAGTCCAGGGCATAGGGACGCGGAGTAAGGAGGCAAGCCCTTGGCGGCGCCAGGACAAAACAAACAGGAGCCCACGTAGTAAAGATGCCGCGGCCGCCCAAGATGGCAAGGGCGCAAGGATACCTTACGACAGATGCCCATCGCTATCCCCTGGAGTGACTGTACATGCGTGTTGGCAACAAGCCAAGCTCTTCATGACAATCGTTGCTCATCGATGCTCAGTAAACCGTCGTCAACTCCAAGCTGGAGACACCTAGCGCTGACTTATCGCATGATGCGATGAAACATCCCCTACGTCATAATCCTGGCCAAACCGCGTTAGCAAGAGCCTAGACGTCCGTGTCAGACCAACGTTTTCAGAAGCATGCACCCAGCATGCTCAAACGATCACATATCCTAACTCCACAAAATCTGGATGACCGCTGTTGTCTTCGTCTTCGTCTTCCTACTATCAACTTTTTTGGCATAACGATTCGTCTTCCTCTTAACTAACTTGTTGGGCTCGGGCTGGTTCGTCTTCGTGAGTTTCGTCTTTCCGTGTCGCCGCGGCAGTAAATTGCGTCGCCCAGTTGCGGTTGCGGTCGCGCGCGCGTGCGGGTTGAAATGTGTCGCCCGGTTGCGTCTGCGGTTGCGTCTGCGCGGGCGGGTCGAAATGCGTCGCCGGGTTGCGGTTGCGGTTGCGCGCCCGCGGGCGGTATGAAATGCGTCGCCCGGCTGCGGTTGCGCGCCCGCGGGCGAGTTGCAGTTGCAGTTGCGCGGGCGGGTTGACTTGTGCCGCCACATTGCGGTTGCGGTTGCGGTTGCGCAGGCGGATGGAATGCGTCGCCCGGTTGCGGTTGCGGTTGCGCGCGCGAGCGGGTTGAAATGCGTCGCCCGGTCGCGGTTGCGGTTGCGCGCGCGGACGGGTCGAAATGCGCCACCCGGTTGCCCTTGCGGTTGCGCGCGCGGGTGGGTCGAAATGCGTCGCCCGGTTGCCCTTGCGGCTGCGCGGGCGGACGGGTCGAAATGCGTCGCCCGGTTGCCCTTGCGGTTGCGCGCGCGGGCGGATTGACATGCGTCGCCCGGTCGCGGTTGCGCGTTCCCGGGCGGTTTGAAATGCGCCGTCAGAAGTGCTCTCCTAACGTTCATTCAGTCAATCAGTCAGTCAGTCAGTCACACCGGCGGGCGCGGAATTTCACCCGGCTCCGCCGGGAAAACACCAAGAACGAGCACGAGAAGAAGAGATAGATAGAGGGAAAGAGAGAGAGAGAGAGAGAGAAAAAAAAAAAAAAGAGAGAAAGAGAGAGAGAGAGAGGAGAGAGAGAGATGGAGAGAAAGAGAGAGGCGGGGAGAGAGAGAGAGTGAGAGAGAGAGGAAACAAAAAAAAAGGAGAGAGAGAGAGAGAGCGGGGTAGCAAGAGAGAGAGATAGAAAACAAAAAAAAAAAAAACGGATAGAGAGAGAGAGAGAGAGCGATAAAGAGAGAACGAGAGAGAGAGAGAGAGGAACAGGAAAATAGACGGAGGAATAACATAAAAATCGAGCAAAAGACGAAAGAGTGAAACAAGGAGAGAGGAAGAAGGCGAGATGAAGTGAAAGAGCGAGAACATATATTGGACAATAAAGGCCGATCAAGAGAACAAGACAGAGGCATATATAGCGAGAAAGAAGGAAAAAGTGCAACAGAGAGAAGAGAAACAAAGCGAAAGACAGAGATAGAGAGAGAGAGAGAAAGAGAGAGAGAGAGAGAGCGAGGAGGGACAGAAAGACTGGGCAAGAGAAAGTTAAAGAGATAAGGAGATATAGAGAGATGGAGAAAGGGAGAGAGAGAGAGAGAGGAAAAACAAATATTGAAAAAGAGAGAGAGAGAAAGAGACAGAGACGAAGAGAGGAGAGAGAGAGAGAGAGAGAATAGAGAGAGAGAAGAGAGAGAGATAGAGAACAAAAAAAAGGAGAGGAGAGAGAGAGAGAGAGGAAAAAAAAGAGACAGAGACAGACAGACAGAAAGAGAGAGAGAGATAGAGAGAGAGGGAGGAACAGCATAAAA